TTCCCGAATCAATTTTATAAAACACGTGCGCAGCTCATAGCCAGGTGTTAGGATAGGCTCTATAGATTTTGGTGGCTCTAGGTGCGCGCTCGTAGGTGTAGCTATTGATAGATAGGAGTGGAATCCATAGTGAAAAGAAAAAGTAAAACAAAAGCAAGAATAAAAGATAAAATGTTAAGCTAGGCTCGAAGTTAACTTAGCAACCGTCTCCCCGGCAACGGCGTCAGAAAACTTGTTGGTATATTTAATGCACACAGATAAATTCGCAAGCGCACGGATACCGCTATAGCTTTCAATCAGAAGTATTTCAAGTATCGTATCCACAGGGAAACGTGTGAGACTAACTACGGTCTAACTTAACAAGGGGTAGCAACAAGGTTAAGGTTTAACTTAACTAGGAGTAGCAACAAGGTTAAGGATAAATAGGAGCGTAGAGAGGATAACTGAGGTTCTCTAATTCTAACTTGGGTAAGCTATGCCTTCTACTGTTCCAGTCGAGGCATTACTAGGGAAAGACAACAGCAGAGGATGCTTTCCTTCGTAACCGGGTCCTACTTAGCCTACAGACGGGAGGTGGACTATAAAGGATCAACGATGCTATATAGTACGAGGCTATATAGTACTGATGTCACAACCGCGATGTACCACCGATTCAGAATGCAGAGTGCATCCACAATTAACCTAAGTCTAAGCACCACGCTTACACTCACGATTAATACTCTACTCCCCCTAGAAAGAGAATAAAGCACTCAAAAGAAAGTCGTGGTCCTGATGAACAATATAAACAAAATACTTACTTGAATCAGAAGTTGATTACCAGAGAAATCCTAGAAGCAAGCTCAAGTAGAACTTGATTCCACCAAGGTACAAGCCGTAGAGAGACCACTTGCAGGCCGGCCGACCCATGGGACCCATCTATTAGTCTCCCCTTCGAATGTCGATTCTCCACCGCCATTAAGATCCAATCTACACCGTCCTTTAAGTCGGTTTGATCCAAGGGCTCACGTTGGACGCTCTGGCCTATATATACCAGCCCCTGCCACCCTCCTTGGAGCCATCCTGAAACCCTAATTCATATTCTCCTTGTCAGGATCAGAGCCAGCTATCAAGAGAAGATTAGTCCTATATAGGATTTAGTCTTATAATTAGAAATAGTGCAATAGAGAGTGAGGGAAGAGTTTGGAGGAGATATCGGCCTGTCGGTGCTCTATCTACGGCTTGTACCTTGACGGATTCAAGTTCTACTTGAGCTTGCTTATGAGATTTCTCTGTTAATCAACTTCTAATTGAAGTAAGTATTTTGTTTATATTGTTCATTAGGATCACGACTCTCTTTTGAGTGCTTTATTCTCTTCCTAGGGGGAGTAGAGTATTAATCGTGAGTGTAAGCATGGTGCTTAGACTTAGGTTGATCGTGGATACATCCTGCATTCCGGATCGAAGGTAGATCGCGGTTGTGACATCAATAATATATAGCCTCGTACTATATGGCATCGTTGATCCTTTGTAATCCACCTCCCGACTGTAGGGCAAGTAGGACCCGGTTGCGAAGGAAAGCATCCCCTGCTGGTGTCTTTATCTAGTAATGTCCCAGTTGAATAGTAGAAGGCATAGCTTATCCAAGTTAGAATTAGAGAACCTCAGTTATCCTTACTACACTCATATTTATCCTTAGCCTTGTTGCTACTCCTAGTTAAGTTAAATCTTAACCTTGTTGCTACCCCTTGTTAAGTTAGATAGTAGTTAGTCTCACATGTTTCCCTGTGGATACGATACTTGAAATACTTCTGATTGAAAGCTATAGCGGTATCCGTGCGCTTGCGAATTTATCTGTGTGCATTAAATATACCAACAAGTTTTCTGACACCGTTGCCGGGGAGACGGTTGCTAAGTTAACTTCGAGCCTAGCTTAACATTTTATCTTTTATTCTTGCTTTTGTTTTACTTTTTCTTTTCACTATGGATTCCACTCCTATCTATCAATAGCTACACCTACGAGCGCGCACCTAGAGCCACCAAAATCTATAGAGCCTATCCTAACACCTGGCTATGAGCTGCGCACGTGTTTTATAAAATTGATTCGGGAACAATCCTTCTCAGAAGAAGGCGATGAAAACCCATACTCGCACCTACAAGAGTTTGAACAGACCTGTGGATACATGCGTATCGCTGGCATGTCTGACAAGACTTTAAGATGGAAGTTATTTTTGTTCTCTTTGACAAGAAGAGCTAAACATTGGTACAGACAAACCATAGGAAGTATGCAAGGAGATTGGGAAACGTTATGCTCTAAATTTTGTTTATGTTTTTTCCCATCTCTAAAGTAGTTAGCCTTTGGAAAGAGGTTCTAAATTTTAGACAATTAGAAGAAGAATCTCTTGACACATCATGGGAACGTATTAATAGCCTCATCATCACTGGTCCGTACCTTGTCATTTAAGACCCTGTACTTCTTCAACATTTTTATATGGGTCTTAGCGAGGATTCTGCGCAATCCCTTCAAGCCTTTAGAGGAGCTTTTCTTCATTTGTCTGCTAGTGAAGCAAGGTCTATGCTTAATAGAATTAGTCGAATCACTCCCTGCACTAGCATTCATAATGAACTTCTCGAGAAAGAGAATGAATTATCTCCCAATCAGGAAGAAGTTTTGATAGCCGAATCAGAACCACTCCAATCACAAGATTTAGTTATCAATCCCGAACCATCAATACCCCAAAATCATCCAAAGGAAGAAAAAATTCCACCTTTAGAGAGCCCTGATAAAATTAAGGATGATCTTTTTTATGCTGATTTTGGGAAAAACTTAAACTTTCTACTACATAAGAGATCTTTGAGCGAATATAATTCAATTTCTCTCAAGAAGGGATCTCTTAGAAAGCATCCTTATTCTCATGTAGGACATTGGGAAGAATTCAAGGATGACATGTCTAGTAAACCCATAGAAGGAGAGCCAAGTCATTTAGAAGCAATTCCTATCTTCTTCCCTTCTATACCCACATTAGATGTCTCAGTCAAACCCATCCTTGACCGTGATGATTCCTCTTATGCTCTTTCTCCTGAAACTTATGATGATCCTAAAAATCCACTAAGACACCCAAAGCATAGGAGTCATGAAGGCCCAGATGTTTAACCAAGAAGAGCAACGACAATGGCTGAAATGTATTAAGAACTCATATGCCATTACTAAAGAATGGATGGACAAGGACGAAGCCTTATGGGTAGAATCCAAATTTGATTTAGATCCAAATGATGAGCTTAAATCAATCTCCTTAATAAACATAACTCACCCAAGTTTGGAGAAGCCTTAGTCAAGATCAACCCGAGAGTCACCAATTCATGGAAAATATTGGACATCTACGAAGAATCACCTTTGGAGCTTGAAAGGGAAGATTACATCAACGAGCATGGAAGCTATTTCATTAACACCTCATTAAATCCATACCCACATGAGAAATCTCTTGAATCAATTGGCGCTACACCATAGCCCAAAATTAACGTCACTTGGGGGTTGTTAAAAATGCCAATTTAACGTCGGTAGGTTGGACGTTAAAGATATTTAACGGATTGTCGGTCATTATATCTCGTTTTAGCTACATACCGTCGATCGTTAATTCTATTTCAATTCAATGTTGGACGGTCGGTCGTTATACGCTACTTTTAACGACCCATCGGACGTCGCCACAAATCGACTGCAATTGCGTGCTATAATTTAGGCCCTTCAGGCTTAACTTTTAGGGGGAATTCCCTGTGTGCAGTTAAAAAAGATCGTAATACCCTATGTGCCTCTAGAAAAGTTCAGCGGTCTTGAGCGTCATTACTCCAACTTTTTCGTGTCCTTCATGCCACTTCCGTTAGTTTGAGCTCTAATGAAAACTCAAGTAAAATTCGAGAGGTGTAAAAAATTCGCAAAAAATAATATGATTTTTCTAAGATATATTATTAATATCAAAGCATCTTAACGACTTTAAATTAAATGAAAATAAGTTTTATATGAAAATTATAGATCTATACCAGATCTACAACTTTTAGTTTTGATTTTTTTCATTCAAATAATAAGATGCTAAGAAAAAATTAATCAAATCATATTTAGACTTAATGGTATTTTTTTATTTTTCACATCTACACTTTCAAGTAGAGCCCAAACTGACGGAAGTGGCATGGAGGATATGAAAAAGTTGGAGTAGTAGCGCTGAAGACCGTTGAACTTTTCTAGAAGCACACAGGACATTACGATCTTTTTTAATGGCACACAGGGAATTGTCTCTAACTTTTATGTGAGCCCCCACCTGTCAAGAAAAAAAATTCACAGCCCACCATTCCAGCCGAGCACCGTGCCTATATCACCCCGACACCATACAAATATTTAACTTTTTACCATTATAACGGATATCACCTCTTCAGTTAGCACTCTTAAAATTGCTCATACATATTTACCATTAAAAGAGAGCATTTGATACATTTTTGCTATTTTCGCTGACATGATACGTCAACTCGACTTGACAGCATAGACCGGCCACGGAAAATGATATTTTTGCCCCTCGTCTTTTTCTTGTGTACCCATCAGTATACAGTGGTCTCTTACCTGGAATTGGCAGAGGGGTGCACTAGATGCCAACCACGCATGGATGTCAGGGTAGGGAATGCTATCAGAGAGGCCTTGGCGGGGAAGAACTTTGCGCTCAAACGAAACGAAACCAGTAGGTAGAATCAGTCACCCTCTCGAAATAGTAAACAAGGCACCTCACTTTCTCCTCCTGGCTTTGCGATCGGTGAATGAGCGCCCTGCAATCGGTGAACAGAACATGAACATAGGTACTCCAATCTAGTTGATTTTTTCCCCAAACATAAGCGAAGCAATACAGAATGCAGAGGACATACGTGAACAGGCCATTGACATTGATGGTGGGAAGGCACGCCTGGGCCCTACGTGAACAGGTGAGCAGCGCCGCGACGAGCTCCTGGCTGAGGAGCACAACGCCTGCGTCCTGCGACGCCAGGACCTAGAGCTCGGAGGCGCCGTGGCCGGCCTTGGCGTAGTGGTCCTCGAGCAGAGCGGGGAGGCGGAGGAGGAGGCATGCGAGGTTGGGGACGACCTCGGCGAACCAGCCCCGTGCCTGGGCCCGGGAGAGGAGGTCATCGAAGAAGAGCGCCAGGCCATCGGCAGCACGCGAGGGGAGCGTGAGGCGGAGGTCGGTGAGCACGTCGGCGAGGACGTCCCCTGAGGCGACGTGGCTGACGTCAGGGCCGAGCGCGAGCGCCCGGAGCGACTCGTGCGCCGTGGGCGGCCAGAAGAGCGCGCCACCGCGGAGGACGATGGGGAGGGAGGGCAGTGCCGAGCACAGGTCGTCGCGCGCCGCCAGGCCCGTGGTCGGCGGCTCCTCCTCCATTGCGGCGGGGACGAAGGTGGAGGAGCGAATGGGTCTGGGTCCAGGTCAGCCGTGAGGTCGAGCGAGGAAGGGATAGAGAGGGAAGAAGTAGATAAGGGATAAAAATGTCATTTCTCGTGCTCGACCTCGCAGGTCGATTTGGCGTGTCAGGTCAGGGAAAATCGTATCAAACGCTCGTATCGATGGTAGCAACGCCGCCCAGTTCCCCACCCTCGCGCACTCTCACCCCAGCGCCGCCCGCGGTTTCCTCGTAGAAAAAAAAAAACGCGCCGCGCCGCCGTCCTTGCACGCGAGCCGCCCCCTGCGTCCTACCCGCCGGCATTGGCTGGCCGCCCCCGCTCTCAACGGTAGCCTCCTCCGCGCGCTCAGCTAGCTGCCGGCGACCTCAGTTCGTCCAATCCGCGCACCTTGGGCGGCGGCGCGGCCTGGCGCGGCCCCAAGACGGCGGTGGCCCGGCTCCAATGCACGCACCTCGGGCGGTGGCAGCGCACTCATCCAGCTCGGCGCGTCCCCGGCCCCCTGGCGGCTGCGCATCTGGGCCCGAAGCTGCAACCCCTCTCCAGTAGGTTCTCCTTCCTCCCTAACCCTAATCCAATCGATTTGGATTTGATTTCAATCTCCATGCTGCAGATCCAGTGGAGAAGGGGAGGAGGAGCAGATCTAATGATGATTTGGTGCCAGGGACCCCTTCTGCCTGTAGGGTTCTTGCTTTGACGACTTATTTTCGATGCTTTCTTAACAGCAGCCTGTAGTTGTTGCACCGTCAATAGTCCAATTTGTCACATGTGCCAGTGTTATTTGATTGTGATGGGTGCCACTGCAAAAAAAAAAATGTAGAAACGGTCATGATATGAATTTATGCCTCTTGCTTTTACATTTCGTTTAATTTCTGCGGGGCTATAGTTATCTAAGGTCCTTCAAATTGTGCCTCTTTTATGTATCACATGAATAATAAACTCAGTGTTGGTCACTGTTGTAGTAATGGTGGTTCTTGTTTGGCGGATATCTGGTTGAGTGACTTGCAGAGAGGAAGAAGTGCAATTTCTATCCGGTGATCTAGTAATTGTGTAATCTGATAATTGTCTATCTAGTTAGCTAATTTGCCCAGCTTAAAAATAGAAACTTATACTCTTTCTATCCTTTTTGTGTTACTTGCTAGTTTTGTGCACTTCTTATGTTATGCATTTATAGCAGTGTAGTGAGGGATTTACCAAGCTTTTTCATTTGTTCTTCTGTATAAGCTATTCCAGTAGGTTCCTTCTAGTTGTAAAGTACTTCTAATATTTTCTATCTATCCATTTTCCAGATTGAGAAGGCTTTCCTCAAGCAGATATCTTAATTTTATAGCACAAAGAAATTGAAGGTATAATGGTTTCCCTTCGCTTATTTTAAAACACCATGACGTGATTAGGTCATGATCCCTAGCACATGAAAAGAATGCATTTCTTAGTGATTGTCCTAACATGCTTTATTTATATGAAGTAAATCAGTTTTGCTTAAAATCCCATGACATTTGCAAGATCTCTCTAACAGGCAGAATATTCCACTGCAGATCTAATTTCAGCAGTGATGTATTCAGATTTATTGTTTTGGCGTTTCATATCTGATATTTTTCTTTTTGTTATCTGAGCAATGGACTTCTTGCTGCCTTGTGACAACAAATAACCACTATTTATAACTTGAAAGATGAAATCAGCAATATCTAAAGCTCTATCTAACTCAGCCAACATTTTAGAACATTTGGACAATGTTAGTGTAATTCAGCAGTGAAGTTAGATAGATATTTTCTTAGAAGTGATTTTTTTATTTGTGCACTATTAAGACCTGTAATGAACTATGACTCTTATGACTTGTGCCGGTGCGTTGCAGGCATGACCTTATTTATTATGTCCTGAGTTGCAAATCCAAATGAAGTGCAAGTTCTTCCTTTCTATACCTGATCCTCGAACCAAGGTTTGTGCTGAACTATTTTTCTTTTTCAATGTCTTATGACAACCAAGCTCAATGACCCCATGAACATTTTTCTTGAGATGGGCAAATAGAAAGTGAGATGGCTTTCTTCTGAATTTTATTGAGACCAGAGAGAAGTAGTGAAGATGGGTTGACTCATTTTTTATCTATATTTGCATGCTATACATAGAGTACAGTACTACACTTACACGGAGAAAATGAATTTTGATTCAATGAATACCATGTGTCATAGCTGAAATTGTAATGGGTTGAAACCAGTATTATCTGCTGGCTGTTTGTGCTGCCTGTTAAACCATAGCTGAAATCATAGAGAGTATTACCTGCTGGCTGTTTGTGCATGGTGCTGGTGTTGGTGCCGCCTGCTGACCGGTGCCTTTTATGAAGTTTTAGGTTTTTTTTTTTATGAATTTCAACTTTTATTTACAGGTGGTGGGAGGAAATAGCTGGAAGTAGACTGCAGCCAATGATTGGATCGATGTGCTCATGATGACGTGTTTTGGACATCCTAGCTATAGATGAAAACTTTTGTTTGGACTTACTAGAGATGGATCATTTTGTAAAGAGTGGAAGCAAACTATGAGACATGGGTTGTGGAACCGAATATCTCTAGTCTAGCATTTTGGCCAAACTTATTTCATCTTAGCTTTTGGTTGCCATGAATTATGTGTAAAATGGCATGACATATTATGATGGCTTTAATATAACTTGTGAGCATTGGTCCAGTTTATGTGTTTCATGACTGGATTGTTCGAATGTATGACATGGATAGTGTTGATTGTATGGTTAGCATATAAACAAGAAATGGTATTATATGTTATTTTTTTTGTATGGATTGCGTTAGGCGGTTGGTCGCTATAAATATATATCATCAGCCTGAGTGTCGTTATAAGTTTATAAAAGGCGGCAGTAAGTCTGTCATTATATCTTATACATAACATTAGACGGTCGGTCGCTAAAAGTCGGTTGGACGTTAAAAGTTTATAACGACGCCAGTATCAACGGTAGATATAAGTGTTGCTATAGATTTATAACGACCGACCGTAGGTCGCTGAAACGGCTTATAATGACCCACCATGCGACGCTAAATCTGGGCTGTGGTATAGTGTGGTCTCTCCAACATTGCCATACACGAGATCTTCAACCCCCTTATACTCTCTGTTTATAAAAACTTTGAAAGGATGGTTGTAGATGCATATGTTTATTATAAATATTGCAAATCTCGTTGGCATGAATCTTGAGATAGGCACCCAAAGGTTAGTGTTCGAGGGGAAATCACTTAACCAATTAGAAACAATTTGAAGGTTTTCCAAGGACGAGCTTTTGTCTAAAACAAGCACTTTGTAACACCCTAAAATTTGCTCTTTTCAAAAAAAGATATAAATTGATTTAATTTTGTATTTTGCGCTCATGAAAACATAGGAAAATAAAAAATTTCATTAATTTAAAATTTATCATAAGGTAGCAACATGTTTATGTATACATGCCAGTGCAATTGATTTATTGATTGTGTGGTTTGAATCAAGTTTCAAAATGGGTTGAATTGGTTTTGGAAATAAATTTGAAAATAGCTTTGAACTGAAAGAAAAGAAAATTAGAAAATAAAAGCATTTAAAAAGTTGTGAAATTTTATTTTTGAAAACTTACCGAAATTTCTCATTTTTATTTGAATTGAAAAGTATATTGGAAATAATATTTGAACTTGATTTGATTCCTAATTGAAAGTGGTTTTGAAATAGGAAATAGAAAAGGATTTGAAAATGGAAAAAAATCTTTTCCCTTCCTCTTCTGGCCAGACGGCCTAGCTCTCTCGGCCTATTTCCCTCTCCGCATCGGGGCAGCCCAGCTCGCGCTCCTGCCAAGCTACGCAGGCCTGCTCTCCCTCCCTTGCTGCGGCCCATCATCCCCTTTCTCCACTGCGCGGCCCACTTCTTCGCGCTCGGCCCAGCACCGCGCCGCGTCTCTTTCCCTCTCTCCCACTAACTGATCGGGGCCACGCCCTGTGTCGCTGCCACCCAGGCCCGCCTTGTCAGGGTCATCCCCCCCCTCTAGCTTGTGTCCGGCACAGACTCTGCTCCGTCGATGGGAGTCCGCCTCCGCCCCGCTCCGGCGACTTGTGTGCGCTGCAAGCCGAACCGCCCCATAAGTATCAGCCGAGCCCCGAGCCACTTTCCCCGAACCCGAGAGCAAGCCACCGCAAACCCTACTTACCCGCTGCCGCTGCTAATTCAACGCACCGTCGCCTCGTAGTTGTTTCCGACCCACCAGAAGGCATCGTGTGGAGGTAAGGAACGCCCGTGCAGTCGGCACCCTCTCTCTCTTCTTCTCTTATGTGTTTGCGATCTCGTCATTGTTCCTCTGCCGTTGCCGAGCCGCTGGTGCTCGAGGAATGCCATCTCCGGTGCTTGGGAGCCCTCACCAATGCCCTAGTCGTGTTCGCCGTCATCCTCTCTCTTTCCCCGTGGTCTTCCCATGTCAGATGGTGGACGGAATCGCCCAATCTGACCACACCGGTGAGCTCCTCTGCTCTTCGGCCATGGCGCCGCCGTCTAGAAGCAGCACGCCGGCGACCTCAACCTCCCCAACCGTCCTCCGCCGTTCGATCTTAGATGAACCGCCCGGATTAGAACCCTTCATAACCGGTCCATGAGCACAGTGTAGACTAGGTCCACAACTCTGGTCCACCACCGGCGCACCATCTCCAGCCAATCCTACTTCGCCACGTCATCCTCTGACCGGGTCAGCGTCGACAGCCGCCGCTCTTTTGCGAAAGAGACCCCAGTGTTTTGCAGAATTAACTCGCCGTCCACCTCAGTTCAGAACTAGTTCTAACTGTGCCCTTGTTTTTTATGTTTTGGCCCCTGTGTTTTTTCCAAAAATGATCCTGGGTCCACATGACTGTTTTAATTTGGTTTTTAATTATTTTTAATACGAAATTGATTTCAAAATATTTACAAAATTGCCACTATCTTCATTAGCCATATTTTCTCTATTTTAACTCCGATTTGATCCGTTCAACTTGCGTTAGGTTC